CTGTTTTTGTGAGTTGCGGATTTGCAAAAYAAAACAGCATAAAAAAATTGCCACTTTCACAGCAAAGATTTCAGGGCCGGCCCATTGCATAGGCAGTATAGGCAAATGCAAAGAGCACCATCCATCGAGGGGGCACCACAAATGGGGGGCGAAAAAGAATTCCATCACTTTTTAATCAAAGTGCAGTTGATTTAATTAGTATAATAATCACTTATGTGGGTTTCTCAGCCTGCTTTGTTACTACATGAGGTTATATCGGGGTGGGCAATCCTGGTCCTCGAGGGCAGCGGCCATGCATGTTTTACTCTGATTCAACACATCTGATTCAGTAATTGAATTCCATTCACAAGTTCTGCCTAAGCTTGGTATCCACACATTCATTCAAATCATGTGTTGGAGCAGAGAAACCAATAAAACATGCAGGATAGCGGCTCTTGAGGACCAGGATTGCCCACGCTCAGGTTATATGGTGCACAGGATATTTTGTGATTAAATATGAAATATATGATGCAGTCAAGACATGCTCAGTGTGTAAATAGAAAACAAAGAATAATGGAAGCTTCAGTTATGATTACGCCAGATTTTTAGTGTTCTAGGTTATTTTATTAATCCTAAGAATTTAGAAAAATGCACTTTACCTAAATTTTCTAGGGGAGTATATACCCCTGGACCCCCTTAGAACTGCTTTACTCCACGGCTACTGGTTAACATGACCACGTGTTCCTCATTGCTGTCAGCAGATGTTGGCAGGTATGAGGTAGACTCCTGGTATTCACTTTCAAATGAATTATCTTATTTATTTTAATTGGACAATCTGGGTTTAAAAATTAAAAAAATAGTAATACCAAAGATAAAACTATTTAATTTGATGTGTGAATATTTGGAAATTGGCAGTGAGATTAAAAAAAATTGCACAAAGAGGTGCCACCTGAAATCTTGCCCATGGTGCCAGATTGGCTAGGACCGGCCCTGACGGATTCGAATAAAATGGTTGAGGTGCCACACCACAGGGAAATCTGTCCACTGAAGACAAAACACAGGGAAGGAACAACAAGTGCAGGACTAAAAGACTCAGTCACATCACACATGACAGATGAGCGAGATGGGGAACATCACTTTACAACCTTCCTGCTGGAGGTTACCTGCCAGGTCATGCATGAGGTCATTAATCAGGTGACCCACTATAGCATAAGTGGCCACTACAATCAACATCACTCCCACTAGGACGTAAACTACACTTCGTGGTAACGTTATCGCGTCTCTGGCTGGAGGGATGTAGTCCACAAAGTAAGGCTCGTCTTCGTCCTCCCGTCTGTAGAGCTGGAGGAGCTGCCGCTGCTCGGGCGCCAGCTGGGTGAGGTTCAAGAGCTGAGCTGAGTTCAGGGGCTCGATTGCTCGTTCATTCATGTTTGATAACTTTATTAAAGTTGAGAATCTTTGGAAAAGAGGCGACAGGAGGGAGAAAACTGGACGTTAGAGGAGCTGAAAACTTTTACTGAAGCAGGGCAGAATAAAACAGGAGTGATAGAAATGTCAAGGTGGTTTCTGAAAAAAYGTCTTTGAGTTTCCTGTTTAGACAAGGGAACAGGCATTCCTCCCTTCTACTCTTTCGCAGAGGGGTCAAATTTCCGAGAGTGTGAAAAAACAGGGAATGTAGGACAGACAGGGTTAATAGGATTAAATCAGACATTCAGGAGTATCAGCTTTCCATCTGCAGGGATTAGAGATATGCGCAAGGAGAGGTGAACAGTAATGCACAAAAGAGGCTTATGGTCATCTGTGACCAAGCTGCATGCAGAGATACATACGATACATAAATCCACATGAACCCACTTTCTTCAGGGTTTTAACTGTTTCATCTTAAGAGCAGCACATCTGCTTACATAAGGTAAACCAAGTAAAACAATATCACTAATGAGAAATTGTAAAAAAGAAACAGCAACACATGTAAATATGATTAAATGAAATGAAAAATATGGCAAAAAAGAAGCATTTGAAGATATTTTTAGATAAATGACCTTACCTGTTTATGTTTTTCTTTATTCTGAGAGTGAAAGGACTTCCAAACAGGTGCGTAATCTACTGCAGCAACTCTGAAAATGAACAAAAACAAATACTTAAAACCATCTATCAGAGGGGAAAAATATACCACCCATATTTTTCTCAACATGAATCTAAAAACTCCTTTTCTTCAGAATCATCCTCACAGTTCTTCTCCRCGCAGCATCTTTCAGACAGTTCTCTTTACGATTTGGGGTCTTCTTCCTTTGGCGCCGTCATGATTCTGTAAAACTCACGAGCGATGAACTTCCACTCCATGATGGTGACRGCTACATTGGCAAAGAGAATGAACCAAGAGACCGGGTGCAGACCGTAGTAGAAGACATGCGCCATGTGGTGCAGAGATGCAGACGAAGAAGAAGAAGAAGAAGACGAAGAAGAAGAAGAAGAAGGACCAAAAGGTGGGCTGAAACCAATGTGTCTCCTGGATGAAAGTGAGCAAGGCTGTCTGTGTCGCTTTCAAGGTGTTCCTAAATAATCCAGGATTTGGGTGACACTGTCACCAGCTTGTCGGTGAGTCAGCAGAAAGCAAAACACTGGAGTTTGTTTAGGGTCACTTGGGAGAAGCTTATTGCTCCTCAGAGGTGCTGCATCTGTAACAAGTTACAAGGCAATAAAAGTTTCTAATAAGAAACRTAATAAATTACCTATAAAAATGACACCTTGCAGGATTTGTTTTCTCAAGGCGATCACTGCAAATTTTGACTCCACAGAAAGCTCTACAAGCTGAACTAGTCCAGACTAGTCTAGCAGAAAAAAGTCAGTCAGGTAGGTCCATGCTGACTCCTTCAGGCTGGAGTGACTATCTTCTTGGGCTTGTCTTCTGGCTCCACCATCCACTTCATGTAAGCGTCGCCCAGGATGAAGGCCCAGTAGAAGATGGTCAGAGAGGTGTTTACGGTCATGATGGCGATGATCAAAGGGTTTATCATGGTGGGTGAACCTGTAAAAATCCCTCACGTCAAAATAAAAAAATAAATAAAGTGTCCTCTGCGTGGGCGAAGGTTTGTCTGTGTGCGACCTCCTCTCTGCCTGCTTCTCCCCACCAACGCCCCACCCCTCTCTACCTCCTGCTGCACTGGTCACTAACGGCGGCGTAATCCTCTTCAGCAGCTTTCAAGATAAAGGTTGCATTAAATGCAGCCCCTTACAAATAAGAAGGTGATGAGTTTGCTTATTCTTTAAATAGAAACTCAGTTTTTGGTTCAAAAACCGTCTCACAATGATGACCTTCAAACTTTCACCATGACCGATATACTCTAATAATCTTTGCTCCGAACTTTATGTTCCCTGTCAGATATAATCCAGAATCTAATCAAGACTGGAGTTTTTAATCTTTTTTTTTAATCCTTTGCCAAACAGGCTTCTTAAATGAGAGGTCACCACAGCTGAGACAACACTCACCTAGAAAACCAGTTCAGGATGACCTACACCAATACACCACTGCTGCTAGAATCTAATTACAGGTTATAAGAAAGCAAAAGTGAAGCTTAGCATCTTAAAAAATGATTTCTCTTTCAGGCTGATTGATGGATTTTTAGAATCAACTTCATCCCACTGGAACAGTCAACACATTTGATTTAAAGATTATTTTAACAAGTTTAAACCTAAAAGAATGACATTTCAAAGTATTCAAGTATTTTCTAGTAGTCTTTGTTGTTTTTCCGATATATATATTACACGTTAAGGACTTAAATATGGGCAAAGTAATTGTATTTGTTGTCCTTTGTTTTCTTAATTTGAGTTTTTTTATTATTTAATTTTTTAAGCATTCTGTGTTTATTTAGTGTGCATGCATTTTTATTTGATTGTGTGCAAATCTGTGATCAGCTTGTTTGATTTACTGATTTATTTTCCTCCAGCTGCACTTTTACAGCAGGGCTTCTCCAACTTTTTGGATCTGGCCCAGGGATTAGCAATAAAATAGCAATTAATGTCATTATGTCAAAAAAACAAGTATTACAAATGTGTTACATTTGAATTAGTTTATTTTTCTGCATGTATTAAAAGTAGTGTAATAAAAGTAATGATATCAAAACAATTTCAGAAAACAAAAAGTAGTTTGATCTTCACCTGCTTTTAAGTTTACCTGTTTTGGGTGTTCATAGAAATGTTTTTACCAGCTTTTAGATGAGATTCTGACATTTCTGTAAATACCACCCATGTCTAACTACAAGAACTTTTACTAAACAGTAGAAAACTGGGGGTTTGGGCTTWTTGAACCAWWTGCCGGGCCAGMCTTCCCTCCCMCTGGGCTGGATGTGGCCTGCGGGTCATCAGTTGAACATCCCTGACATACAGTATTTTGTGATCGGCGACAGTTAATTTGGTACTGAAGCTGAAAATGATTTTGGGTTTGAGGACTGGAGCTGGTAAAAAGCTGACAGCTCCTCTTCCACCAGGTGGCGGTCTGCTTAAACTCTGAGACCGTTTTTGAAAGATCGTTGCAGTAAAAAATCATCTGCAGGTCATTCACAGCTGAAGATCAGAACTGCTCTGTTTCAAGTGTTTTTCACTCTTGAGAGTCGAAATCAAACAGATAATTAATTAGACTGAAATATGATTTTTTTCCATCTTTCATTTCTTTTTGTAATAATGTGTTTTTGAAAATATAATTTCTTTGTTTTTATCTCGCTTCTGTCAAGAACAATCAATCCCATCAATGAAACAGGAGATAAAATGTGGAGATGGTGAGGTGTTAGCTGAAATAATGAATACATTTCCTCCTGTGTCAGATTACATACAGTTTGTTGATGGCAGGATTATTTCCCAACTCTGACTCAGCCTGCAAGAGGCAGCAACGTGCTGCAGGCCTCATATCTGTGTGAGAGGAAGAGGACCGGCCCTCAGCTGAACTTTGARACTTCCAGATGTGTTGGAGCGCCAGTGTTGCTTCACCACAGATCAAAAGCCATCCAGTGACACTCCTTTAAACCATTTCCCTCTCCCAGCTGCAGTGGTGAGGGCGCCGTTTTTTTGACATGCCTCCTCTTGCTGCCAGCTTCACGTCTTGAACTGCTTTTATCTGAGTCATTTTAATAAAAAAGTTTGAACGACGGGCTGGGCAGAATGAAGCTGCCGGTGGAGGTCAACGTGTTTCTGCTCTCCATGTTGTCTCCTGGAGTTTTATTCCTCATAAACAGGATCCCGGCATTTCAGGAGTAAGTTTATGATCTTTTTTTTTTATCATCTTTATACAGGTAGAGTGACTTTATGATCTCTGCTGGGATTCTTTTAAAAGACTGCTCAGGCCTCAAAAGAAAAAAAAAGAAGAAAAGAGAAACTTAATGGGCAAATGAAAAATTTCATGTAAACTTTAAAGTTAAGATTAAAAAACAGGCTATYCGTATCTGTCCCAAGCTTCAAAGCTAAACTGGGCTTTTCTACACGATCACAAAACTTGAACTGTGTGAGAACTGTGCTCAATCTACAGATACATTTTTAGATATTCACCCATAAATAAGACAAGGTCAACTTGTTAATGGAATTTTAATGAGTTGAACTCCTCTGAATACAGAATGAATTTAAATTTGATTATTTTCTTTCAAAAAAAGAACGAGTATTAGTTTTGTGTTGTCTGAAACCTGTTTATCCAAGTCAAAAATGTGTGAAACATGAAAGCAATTAATGATTTTTTTGTAGATTGGGGGCAGATTGAAAGTTAGCTTGCATTGCTGCAGAAAGCACAACCTGAATTTACTTTTGTCCAACAAATGCTCTGAATTGAACCTCAAATGATTTAAAAACTAAATATCAGGTCAGTATTTTGGACTCAGCCACATGTACGTTGTTCAGCTCAGATCAAATGCTCAGCTTGTTGATCAAAAGTCTGAAGCTCCATCTCTCACCACAGACCTCTGCCTATCCTGGGAATGGGAATGGTGGTCCTGGGATCCAATCTTATCCTCCTCATCCTCACAGTGCAGCACAAAACGAAACTGGATATTTTATTTTATGGTATAAACACAGTTTATAAAGCGTGGCGTGGTGAAATGCTGTCGTTTCACTGTGTTTTGTGTGTTCAGTGTTTGCAGAGTTTTCCTTCTGCTGCACGCTGGGTCTGACCAATGCTTTAGAGCAGGATGGGTTCATCTCTGGATTCATGGACTTTTATCTGCGGACTGTAAGAGAACCAGCTGAGAGCTCGCACATACAGGAACATTTGTCTGAAACGTTTGGTTTGAGTGTGTAATCGTTTGTCTCCTCAGGGCGAGCCTCATCTCAGCACCGCCCACGCTGTGATGATGTCTTACTGGGAGGCTGTGCACCTCATCCTCCTCCTCGCGATCATACATCGCATGTTTACAGGGTAAAGCTGCGAAATTCAAACCTGATGTGTGTGTGTGTGTGTGTGTGTGTGTGCGTGTGTGTGTGTTGACAGCTCTAAGCATTGTTCTTTCTTCGTGCAGGAAGTCTTATCGAAGCCTGGGCCTGCTGTGGTCGGGGTCATCCATTGCCAATCAAATGGTCCACATTCCAGGGGTGATCATTGGTGAGAAAGGCCCAGATTCGGTCCCAACAGCTCTGCAGTTTTTTAACCCTTCACTCACTGTGTCCTCTGTTTGTGTCAGGTAAGTATGGGTCAAACATTCGACCGGCGTTTTGGAGGAACATCCCGTTCTTTTTGGTGCCATTTTGGGCAGCTTACCAGCTCTTCAGCAGACGAAGGGAGATGCCGATCATCACAGCAGACAAGGTGAGTTTGACTAAAATGATGCTTTAATTGAAGGGTGCATATCTGAAACATTTATACAAATAAATCAAAGAGAGAAAAAGTTAATAAAAGTTTTATAGAGATTCAAAGGAACTGCTTAAGTAAGAAAAGGCAACTTAAAACAAGTATTAGGATTTAGAAAAATGTGTTTTATTGGGTGTAAAGAACTACTAATTCCAGGTTCAAATTGCCTGTCAATTTCATTTTATATCTTACTGTTTCAGTTAATTCATGTTATATTTTTTAAGTGACTTGTTTTGATGTTAAAMCCCCAGACTGAAGATTACATGAACTTGCACAAAACTTGCAATAAAACTTTACAGTCTTGCAAAACATTTGACAAAAACACAACCTTTTCAAAACAAAGTTTGGAAACTTGACTTACACTGTAAAATGCCTAATCTCATCATTTTATTCCCAATTTTGTGAATATATTATGACCTAAACATATCCCAAGTGCAGTCAACTCATTTTTAACCTTGATTTGTTAACAAGCCATAACAAAGTGGGGCGGGGGGGCACAGAGCTYYTCCCTGGATCTCAGTCTGCAGCCAACCCAGGGATGCTCTGTGCTGAAACAGTAATGTCTGTAATGGTAGGAGGTTTTTAAAGAGACAGAGGCCAATTTCAAGGTACCGGTATTCAGATATGGTGCAAGTCAAATTTATTTAGATACATACAGCATTTTCATAACTGAAGGTATCATAGTTACTTGATTGTGATATAGAATTTAACTATGTGCCTTGAAAATACATAATACACCCCCACAAATAAAAAAATATAAATTGTGATAAAACATTATTTGGTCAAAGACAGCAAGTTTATTGAATGAATAATAAATTGTGTTTAGTCACAAGTTATTAAATATACACCTAAAAGTTTGTATCTTTTGAGCAGATTGCTGCAGAGCAGAAGAAAAGTCTTCAGTCTCGACCTGCAGACCTGCTCCTGTCTGTCCTCTTACTGGGAGTTCTGGGTTTCTTTGTTTTCAGGGGCATGGTGAGTGAAGTGTTGGTTTTATCAGAAGTTTTTAATACCTGACTCAATCAGGTAGGTGTGAGAGGACAAATATGTGTTGCTGYACTGCAGGTGGTGCTGGACTGTCCTCTGGACGCCTGTTTCACCTACATCTATCAGTTTGAGCCGTACCTCAAAGACCCGGTTGGCTTTCCYAAGTTTACGGTCAGTTCAGAGGCAGGAAAAGGTTTCAAGCGTTCTTTGATTTTCTTCAAAACTCCTCCTGATCCTGTTTGGTGCAGATGCTGGTGTATTTATTCTACGCCGTGCCCYTGGTCACCGTCCTCCTCTATGGTCTGAAGACCCCTGGATGCAGCTGGATGTTGGACTGGTCCATCTTCTTTGCTGGAGCCATGGCTCAGGTAAGTGTGTTCACGTTTTTACTGATGGTGATCTGTTTAAGGACGAGCCACGCTCCCCACCTCAATGAGACCTCTTCCCCTCCCCAGACCCAGTGGTGTCACATCGGAGCATCTCTGCACTCCCGCACTCCCTTCACGTACAGGGTCCCCGTTGACAAAAAGTGGCTCGTTATCGCCCTGAACGTGCTGCTCGCCGTCGCCCCGGCCCTGCTGGCCCTACGCTGCCTCAGAAATCCTGCCTTTTTTATGAAACCTGCTCCTGAGGGACAGAGCAACAACGAGAAGAAGGAGGACTGAATCAGGCGGCAGCTTCTGAATGTAGAGGGGGGAAATACAACTCAACGCAGTGACGAAGCAAATGTTGAAAGAACTGTTTAGGATCTGCAAACTGAATTAACCCTCCACCCCTTTTCTTTTTTTTCTTTTCATCCCCACAACCTTTAAAAAAATATCCAAGGGAAATTTAAAAACTTTGCTCTCTGGGTCAACTTTTGTAAAGCCGGCAGCTCACACGGCACTCCCTGCAGGGGACTGTTGGACCCTGATAAGAGGGCCGCTGATGGAGGCGAGGACTGTGGTCAGACCACTCTGCGTTCAGGTGACTCACACAGATATCCAGCCGTCACAGTTTCAGATTACTAACCGCTCACCAACACACGACTGCAGGACTGACAATTGGTTTGTCTTTATGCCGTAACTCACAACAAAACTCCACTATTTATTTTTATTCATTTAAAACCATCAGGGTTAAAGAGAAATGATACAGCTTTAAGGAGGACAGGATGTTGAGAAGATTCACTGGATTTAAAGAAAAAAACAGCTTTATTAAAATACAAAAAAAAAAATGTAGTTTTTGTCATTGTTCTTACACATTAGTGTTGTTTTCACTAAACTGTTCAAACCAAATGTGTATTTATTTTACATTAACAAAAAAAAGTTGCAGATGTAAAATATACTCCTGTTGGGACTGATTTCAGTCTTTCATGTTTATATGTATGATTAAAAGAAATAAGCTCTCAGTTGTGTGTGTGTGTGTGTGTGTGTGTGTGTGTGTGTGTGTGTGTGTGTGTGTGTGTGTGTCTTAATTAAACAAAAGTCTTTTTCCAGCAGTGTAAGTGGTGTTTAATTACCTGATCTGATCGTAGCCCTCTGACTTTAAACAACATAATTTGCTCAGAGGCTAAAAGCTTCACAGGGGTYGTCCCCTCAGTTGTCAATAACCACCTCCGGCTGTGACCTCATCGAACAGCAGGAACAGAGCTGAACTGATAAGAGGTGAACCCTGGATATAGGTGAGCTGTCACACACACACACACACACACACAAGTCACACACTTATTCGTAAAGTATTCGCATCTCATACAATTGGATTTATCTGACAAAATGTCGATTTTGTGTCTTGGATTTGAGGTTTAAGTTACAACAAACTTGTATTGATCGCAACGATTCTGTCTTTTTAAATACCTTTATATCTTACAAGCCAAACACTAAGCTAAAATCTCAGTTTTTTTAAAGAAGAAAAGCAGCATCTTTGTTTAAAAACCTTTCATTGAGTCTGACTTCTTCTTCTTTATAAATGGAAATAAAAGATAACATAGTCAGGCCGACTTCATTTTTAGCTTCAGCTTGATGTTTTAACTCAAATCAAGATTCACAAGTTGCAGGAGATGTAACCACAAGTGTCCTTTTTTCAGTTGAAACTATGCCAAGCAGCCTGCTTGGTGCGTGAAAACAGTTTTATCTGCAGTGGCATGAATATAATTATTTAGTTATATATTGTTTAAATTTAAAGATAAGTTACTTGTTTTAGTCATGGTAGTTGATTGTAGTGTAGTTGTGTTTTTTTCCCATCAGCAGATTCAGCTAAATAATTTGAGCTGATTTCATGAAGGTTAAGTTTATGGAAATCTCCTSTTAGCACATCTTAGCAGTTATTATTGTTATTAATTTTTTAACCTCTCAGTCCAAGAAGAGTGAGTGCAGAAATCTACACAGTTTTAGATATATATGGCCTTTTAGAATGAGCCTGAGGCCTATTTTTCTTTTTTTTTTTCTTCTCCATTCAGTCGGTGCTGTCCTCTGTTTGATTTAAGTTCTCTGTAAAGTCAGGCTCAAATTTATACAGCCATTCATAAAGCTGAAACAACCTTAATTTGTCCTTACAGTGGGCCCTGAAAGTCAACTTGAGTCTGTGAGWGTGGGTGAATATGATGTTATGACCAGGCCAGTTTGTCCCTGATGAAGACAAGCTGGTTAACAAAAAGGTTATTTATCAGATGATAATTTCAATTTATATTCTGTCACAGGTTTTTTTTGATACCTTTCAGGTAAGAACAAGTGCTTTTAAATTGACAGAAACAGATAAAATGTTAAGAATATAAAGATCATCATTGCTGCACTTCTGAGCAAATTACTGCTGTGGAACTGACACCTGAAGGGGTCACTGTGTCCAGTAAACCCACTTCAACACAGAYGGGTTATCACTGAGGAGAACAGGACTTGTTCAAGTTAAAAACTGAGACACTTTGATTTAAATTCTGAAACTATTAGATTATGATTAATTGCMCTGCAGTTCAATCAGATCAATTTGGGATGTTTTTTTTTCTGCTTGGTGTTCACACGCGTGCACACACGAATCATCGGTATGTTGCTTCTTCCCACAGACCGGCTTTTTGGCTCCGAACCAGCGGAGGAGCATCCAGAGGACGGGGTGACAGGAGASGGGGAGGAGTGACTCAGCGAGACGGGAGGTGAGCCGAGGACAGAAAAAGAAATGCTGCTGCCCGATTTCCACCGGGGAGACATTTGTCACCTCCTCCTCCACTGAGCAGTGCGATCGCTTCATCGTACCCAGGAGAAACAAAACAAAAAAAAAGGATGTCAACTCATTGTGTGACCTTCACCTGCCCCGTCGGCCCTTTTGTCACTTCCTTCTGAGTTTTCGGCACAGATTTAGCCCACATCAGTTTTTTTAGTCACATGCAGCAGGTTTTTGAAGTAGTGTTGCAACCTTGAACCTCTGATGTAAAAGAAACAAACTGTTATAGCTGAAGCTCATTTTACAACAAGACAAAATAATTGGTTTAGTTATACTGCTCTGGTAATATGCAATATGTAGTTTGGGAAAGTCACAAGGTCATCTTACAAAAATCCAATTTAAATATCAAAACCGTTATGTAAACACAAAAAAAACCCCAATAAAATCAATCAACAAAATGAAATACAAATAAATAGCCTGCTTTGAAGTAAAAAAACATCTTTGTTTCACTTTATCKATTACTTTTCTTTGTCCATCCTGTTTTCGGGTTTGACAATAAAAAACGTTTTTGTTTATGTGCTGATCTGCCAGCTGGTTGTAGTTCTCTACATTTCCCAACACATACTGTACTCTAACTTCACTGTTTCAGTCATGTGACTTTTTTTTATAAAGGCTGAAAGATGGCGCCATGTCTAAACGTTTAAATGAAATAAATAAACCGCAGTATAAAGTGGTGTTGTTCATTTTATTCACTTTATTAAGAATGAAATACAACAGCTGGACAAAACAAAACAAAATTAACTAAAAAAAAGTCATAGAACACCAAAATAAGTGGATGACTGATCAAATATCAAAGGGACAAAATCAAATAAAAATAAAAAGTGACATTCTACCAATCGTGTGAATACGTGCAAAGATTGAAGGAGTTTAGCAAATCAGATACAATCAAGCATTTATTTCAGGGGATTATTTTATAATCCCACTGATTTAATCTACCTCAATGGGATTGAKTCTATTTGATTGGACAAAGTCCAGCTATTGATCAGCCAATCACACGCAACGTAGGCAATATTTACAAAACAGAAATTACAGTAGAAACACTTGAATGATTTGTTACTGATTGGACTCCAAAACTGGCGTAGAAAATGATGTTGCATCAGCTCTCTCTGGAATAAGTTTAAAAAAAAGCGTATTCACTAGCAAATTATTCGTAATAAATAGTACAGAAACAGCAACTATTAGAAAAAGCATGTCAGTAAAACGATCAGCTACTTCAGAGCTTCACAGGAAAAGTAAACAGCTACAGCACACAAACAAACAGCTCAGGGTTGGATCAGGGGCAGACCTTTCATCTCTGCTGTCTGAGGTTTTCATGTAGAACAAGCAAACTTTTACAAAAAAGACACTTCTCTAAGTTTCCATCTGACGTGCACACACTCACACACACACACACACACACACGTACACACTGCTGCCAGTCAAACAGATGGGGAGTGTTAAGAGTTTGTCAGCCAGGAAGATTACTCTACTGAAGAGAGAACAAGTAAAGTCTTCTRGTCGGTGTTCACATGGACTTCAGTTAAAGAAAACAACGAAAGTCAGGGATGGGACAGTGGAAATTAGCAGAGTGTTAGTTAGCAGACAAGCTTGTTTCTTAAAAGTAATAAAAGCCAAGAGCGAGGTGAGAAGCCGGGGGGCGGGGGAAATGAGGGACCTACTGTCTGTCTTTACAGGCCATGGTTAGCACCTAGGCGGAGCAGATACTGGGTTATTTGGCTCAGTAGTAGCTGTGGACGTCCTCCCTGACTCTGCGGCCCTCTCCTCCGTGTCTCCGGTTCCGGCGATGTTCATGGTGCTGATTGTGGTGATGGCGTCTGTACCGGTGGGAACGCCGAGCTGAAGACAGAAAGAAGCATTCGTTTGCAGGGTTTTCATTTTAAACAAATGTGGTTCTTGTCAAGTCTTAAAATCTAACCAAATTTTATCACAATCCAATATAACACATTGATTGCTTGTTGATAAAGGTGATAATGTTTTTGCTCATGTCTGTGCGTCTTTGTTTAATATAAATTAAAACATCCAATTTTCATGAAATTTGCAGAAAGTACCATATTTGTAATGCCGTTCAAGTATAATGCAGCACCCCTTCCCATTTTTTTGGCCTAAAATGTATTAAAAAAATCTAATCCTTTTGCGTAATGCTACCCTTAATTTCGTACAGACTTATAT